CAGATGCCTTATAAGCATCCTGGTGCCTTTGGCTCTGAACTGGTGAAGTTGTGGGAGTGAACACCCAACTGAGAGTGTCTGTGTCAGAGGCCTAGATCTTTCTGCACAGACCCCCTTCCCGGCTCCACTCCAGCTCTCAAATGCCCGAGCTGTGCTGAAATACTCACCATTTCCTGATCACCCCCTATCCTCCCTGGTTTACAAAAGTGGATCACGACAGCCTCCTCTCCTCTCCCTCTTCTCCCCATGTCCCCAGACCCACACCAGTTTGTCCTTCTGAGAGTACAGCTCAAAAGTCACCTGCTCCAGGAAACCTAGGAACCTATGGCTTAGGCTGAACTAGATGTCCCACACTCCAGCCCCAGGCCCCTGTGCTCTCCTCAATGGCTGCACTCACTGCCACTGTGTGCTATAATCCTATATGCCCACATGATGACAAGCTTCCGGAGGGCAAAGCCCATCTTATTCATCAGCATGGCTTCAGGGACATAGTAGGTGATTAATAATTCACTTATTCAAGGACCTCTTAATTGAGTGCCCAACAGGTCAACACGGAGAGCACCTGCTTCCTGGGCCTCCCTTCTATAGAAGGAGACAGTCAGATCAACGCAGTCTGATAGATGCTTGGATGTGGGAGACACAGGGCCTTTCAGGTGTACAGACTTGTCAGAGGGGGGCTTCAGAGAGGAAGAAATGCCCAAGATGAGGCTGAGTAAATGAATGAGTGCATAAATGCAACTACTAGAACTGGAGCCCAAGGTCTGAGCTAAACCAACATCTGCACTGAATCAGGGATGAAGCCCTGAAGTAATAACATAGAGAAAGAGAAAATCTGTTCCCAAGTTAGGGCTGAGCCAGGTGATGCAATTTGGAGATGGGTGCACACAAAGCAGGTAGCCGGGCTCACCCTTATATGGAGCTACATTCCTGTCTGTGTCAGTAACTAGTGTGGTGACCTTGGCCTCATCACTATCTCTCTCTGGGCCTTGGGCTTCTTATCTGTAAAAACCGGAAGGGGGAGGAGTCTGATTTATAATGCTAAATTGAGAACCTGACCCCATTCCAGGGGGCATTTACTGCATATAGATGTTATGCATATAGGTGTTCAAAATGCAGAGAGAAATTAAGCAGGGGACAATGTGGTCAGGACTTGAACCCTGATTGATGCCAAAGCCTCTGTTTGTCCCCTTTTTCTATAAGGCCATGTAGCCACTTCACAATTTATCTGAGAACACTTCACAAAGAAGACCCCTGAGCTAAGACAGGAAGATGGGCAGTAACAACGTTGTGGGGAGAGAAATGAGCCTGGCACGAAGAGGAGATGGTGGTGGCAGGGAGACAGTTCTGGCCTGGCTGGAGCAGAGGAGTCACATCAGGGAGCAGTGGGAGACGCAGATGTCTCTCTCCTGCAGGACCCAGCAGAGGCACGTAGGGGGAGGAATCCCCCTACAGAGCTCTTGGACCACAGCCTAAGCCCCAGCAGTCAGGTGAGGCGGGCATGGCAGATGCAGGAACGCTGGCTTCAGCAGAGAAGAGGGCACAGTAAGACCTGAGGCAACCAAGAAAAGCCCCAGGTGGTCAGGGCAGTGGACTCCCAGGTTCTAGAAGGTCAGGGGAGTAAAGTACCGGGCAGGGTCTTTATGTGAAAACAGATCCAAGTCCCAATTATCAAGACCAGATAAAATCAAAGGACCAGCTACTGAAACAAATGAATGAGAATTAATAATCCCATCAGTCAATTCTGTTGAGCACATACCCCAGGCCCTGTTCTAGGCCCTGGAAATACATTGGTGAATGGTTCATATAGAATCTTGGCCCTTGGGGCCCTTACAATCTACCAGGGGAGAGAGACAAATAGACACATTGTAAAATCAAATGCCACTGCTATGAATCAAATTGAAATAGCATTGAAGAACAGAGCAATGGAGATAGAATAATAGTTTTGCTATTTTATCCCAGCTCCCCAGGGAGGGCATCTCTGAGAAGGTGGCAGTTGAGCACAAAGCTGAATGAAGTAAAAGAGCAAGACATAATAGGGCTTAGGGGAAAGCATTCCAGGTGGAGCGAGCAGCAAGCGCAAAGGCCCTGAGGCAGAAATGTGCTTGACATATTACTGGGGAGAGGCCTGTGGGAGGCCCATCTAATAAATGAGTTTGGAATGAGTTTGGGTCAAATTACGTACACCTTGTAGACCATACTGAACAGTCTGGTCTCAGTAACAGTCAACAGGCACAGTCTGCAGTTGAGTTCAGTACTATTGGGCCATCAGCACACATTTGCTATTATTTTTAAAGTACCTGGAGGAGTTGGTCTATTTCCATTTAACAGATGGGGAAACTGAGGCTCAGAAAGTTGAGGTGGTTTTAAACAAAGGCTGCAGAATGAGTGATGGAGCCGGGACGTTAGGGTGGCCATATGCTCCAGTTTGTCCTGAATGGTCAGTCCACTTGAGGCTGCAGTTCCAAGGTAGTTATTTTGACTCTCAAAAATATCCCAGTTTGGATGATAAATTGTATGATCCCTGTCCTGAGCTAAATTGTGTTCCTTGACTGTTCGTAGATTAAAGCCTCAACCCCAAGTAACTCCAAATGCAACCTTACTGGGAGAGAAGGTCTTAAAAGAAGTGTACCCATTGAAATGTACCCATTATCATCAAGCCCTAATCCAAATATGACGGGTGTCCTTATAAGAAGAGGAGAGACACCAGGGATTGGTGAGCGCAGAGAAATGAGCATCGGAAAACACAGCAAGAGGGCATCTGCAGCCAAGAAACGAGGTCTCAGGGGAAACCAGTCTGCCAGCACCTTGATCTTGGGCTTTCAGCCTCCAGAACTATGAGAAATAAATTTCTGTTGTTTAAGCTTCCTAAGTCTACCGGATTTTGTTACGGCAGCCCAAGCAAACTAGTACAGTTGCTTTGCCTTATGGGACTGAGACCACGGTTTCTGCTTTAGAAAACCATGTGCTGGCTTGTGCCACACTGCCCTTACTTAGCTGCTGATGTTCCTCTGAGCTCTGTGTCACTACTGGCCCTAGAGCCTGAACTGGGAGCTCAGTCTTCAGGGGGAGGCAAAGTGGTCCAATTGCAGGGCAGAGGCCAGGTGATGGTTATAACAGCCCCAATCATGCATAACTGTGTATTGAACAAGGAATGCATTACTGTGTATTGAACTACACCTGCCAGCACATAGGTGGAGTCTCGGTGCTGGGGAAGGGGAGAGGAAGGCTGAGACACTCAGCACAATACAGCAGGGAGAGCACCATCCTCTGCTCAGAGGGGCCTGTGCTCCCAGAGACCCTGTCCTGGGCTTCTTCACAGCACTGCCTCTCTGTGTTGAATAGCCTCTTACGTCCAGAGTCCCACTGCTCATAAGCATGTCCAGCCAGAGCTGGCAGCTCTGTCATCCATGTAGTCCCGGGCCCTTATAAACCACAGTAAAAGTAGTTAAGTGGGTTACATGCCTAAGCTTTGGAATCATACAACCTTGGCTTTGAGTTGTGGGTCTGCTACTTTCTAAGTGTGTGACACCAGGCAAGAAACTTACCTTCTCTGAGCCTCCATTTTCTCACCTAGAAAAGGGCTGTAATAATAGTATCTTCATAAAAAGCATTGTAGTGAGGACTCAGATAACGCACGCAAAATGCCCAGCACAGTGACTGGCACATAAAAAGCACTCAGTCATTATGTCAGCAATTACTAACGGTATTACGAGGTTCTCAGTTTGGGTTTGTGGAAGCTCTTGAACTTCTGCCATTTGGGTCTTATCTGTCTTGTTCAACCTCCGCATTCTAGTGCTGAGCACAATGCTTCACACATAATTAGAGCTCAATAAAAAATTCAAAGTATTTTAATAAAATGACTGAATTAACAAGCCTGTTTTTACAGCTATAAAATGAGATGGCTAGCTTAGGAAATTCTGAGCCCTGCTCCAGCAGAGGCAGACTAGGATCCTGCTCCCCAAAATATCTCCTCTTCGTAGCACCCCACATTGGCCTGTCCTATCTCCTCTTGTTGGCAGGCATCCTGGAAAATGGGTATGCTGAAGGACAAGTGTCCCCTGGGTCCACCTTGGCGGCTGGTTAAGCAGAGGAGGAAGTGAGTGCCAATTTCCGTATGGGTCCTTGACACGCATGCATGCAGGGCACTGGGGCCTGAGATGAGCCCTACTTGCTGCTTAGCTCCTTGGCAAGAGGTTAGAGCTGTCCCAGGCATCACCCAGGAGCTGGTGACTGAGATGACTCCCTGCCAGTGGCAATCTTCTGTCTAGAAAGACACTTGACTGCAAACAGAATAAGAAAAGCAAAAAGGTGACACTACCATCCTAAGTTGATAAGATGCTTATTTGAGACAGAAAACATGCCAGATCCCGTCTCCAGCCTGGACTCCACCTGGGTGCTCCTCTGACTTCCCTTACCCAGGTTCCAGTGACATTGTCAGCTGAGAATCTATGACTGGGACTCACAGGTGAGGCCAAGGGCAGTCTGTTGGTGTGGTAGGAAAAGCAGAGGGAAAGTATGAACCCCTTTCCAGGTAAACAACATACAGGATTGGAATAGCTAGAGCAACTGGCTATGTCAACCTCATGTCACTGCTTTTTCCTTGAGCCCTAGAATTTGCACAGCCAAGATTAACAGGCCTATGGAGCACTGGCGTTGGAATTATGTGGACATTTTATTCTCTAGGTGGGCCACCCTTGGGCAAAGAGGAGGGGGTCTGGCATATGGGGATCAGAGGACAGTCAGACATGCCGACCTGGCAATAGGCTCCCAGCTCACCCAGGAGGTACAGGAAGAACACCGTATTCTCTAAAGACAGCCGGCTGCCCCCACCCTTCCAGATCATGGGCCTCAGTCTTTTCAAAGAGATCAGCAAAAATGTGTGATGACACGTAACATTGCAACCCTATCTATTGTAAGCTTAGTATCTGCCTTCCCTTCTAGAATCCAAGTTCAAAGAGGACAAGGGCTGGTGTTCTGTTTTGTTTAGTTAGGTCCTACAGTGCCTGTGATGTTGGAGATAATTGTGCTACTGTGAAAGGGAGGGACAGAGACAGAAGGGAAGAGAAACTGAGCCAGCAAAGGGAACCCCATTTTCTTATCACCTAAGACGTATGAGGGCCAGAGAAGAGAACCAGTGTCTGAGTCCCTGCCTTCCCACGACTGAGAGGCCGAAATTGCTGACTCTCCATTGTCAACTGGGAACATTGTGGAGAAGTGTGGTCCACATCCTGGGGGAAGATATGTCCACTAGGCTCACAAAGTCTCTTATCTCTTCCCTCTGACCATCCTCAAGACTGTATCCCTTCTAACGGGAGCAGGGCAGGGGTGGGAGGCCCTCCCTGCTTCTCCCCTCCCTAGAGCCCTGGGGAGGTACTTCTCCCTTTCTCCCCTAAACAGAGCCTGATTGGTAGCTTGCCTCTCCAAGGAATGGTTAATAAGCCCTTGGGTGACTTTAATTGCCATTAGGCATTAGGGACCTACTGATAATTATCTTCTTTGATGACTCCAGCACCTTGCAGCCTCAGGGCCTCTCAAGAGGGCTAGCTCTGACCATGCTGCACCTCCCAGCTCCAGACAGAGGAGGTGAGGGAAGGGCCTCAGTACCAAGCAGCCACAGCCAGCAGGAAAGAGGAAGGCTTCCAGGAACAGTTCAAGCCCATTTTCCAAAAAACAAAATGTCACTTTCCTGGATGAAAAGGAAACTCGCAGAGTCAAGAGGGCTACAATCTAGTCAGACAAATGGCAGCAGGGCTTGAAAACCCCAATGGCCTTGCTCTGACCTATCTCACCGAACCCTGGTCGGATGCAAGGGATGGAGGGGAGACCCTCAAGATCCACTCCCTCTGCCATATGGCTGTGTGCATAGGATTGAAGGTCCTGTGCCTCCAGAGTAGGATGGGATTGAGATCCCGCCTCTGGAGTTTGAAGCATGATACCCAGAAATGCTATAAAACAATTGCCATTGATTCAACACCTGGTTGATGGTTGAGAGTTGACTTGTCCAGTCTGATCTAGGTTGCACTCTAATGGAAGGGGTCTGACTGTGGGAAGGAATGCCACCCTTGCCACCACTCCCCCTCTCAGCTGGTGCGTGGGTGAGTATGTAAGGGGGCATTCCCCACCTCCACCACCACCACCACCACTCCCGCCTCTATAAAGGCTTGCAAAACAACCTGTAGGAAGGCATGTCCCCTCCTCTCTGCCTCCCTTCCTCTGCGGCGGAGTCAGTCTCCCCCAGGCTACACTCTGGACCCATCCTGCACCAAGCTGAGCCCAAGAGTACCCGTACCGGCCCGAGAGGAGCTGGGCGAGTCAGTTAGAATGATGCCCACCCCGATGCCCCCCAAAGCCCCACGCACACTCTCCCTGTGGGTAGGGGTAGGATCCCCCCTACCCGCACCTCTGGCAGAGTGGCTGCGAAACACCTCCGGCGCAGCGCTCGCTGGGAAGCGTGCATCCTTTGAAAAGGGACATCGGTGACTGCGGTGGCGTCTACCCTGGAGAAACGCAGCCAGCGCAGCCGGCCAGCCCCATTTGGGTCCCCGCTCTAGCGTGCGTTGTAGGGGAGCTGGAGGGAATAAAACATAAAACAGGGGCGAGCTGAATCGCGAGGTCGGCCCTTGCTCTAGTCTCATTAAGGAGCCGCGCGCGCCCCCAGGCTGGGAATGCGGAATGGACACGTGGACCGAGGAGGGGGAGCTGGGGGTGGGGGGAGTCTCCGTGGCGCGCGAGCCGTGGGCCGCGCGCTCCGGGGCCACGTGACCACGAGGAACCTGGGAGGGGAGGGGCGGGGAGGGGGAGAGCAAGGGAGCGAGCGCGCGGAGCTCTGCGCCCGCTACTGCCCGGGTGGGCGCTGAATCCCGGACGGGGGAGGAGGGCGGGCAAGCGCGAGTGTGTGTGTCTCTCTCGAGTCATTTACGGCGGAGCAGCCGGCGCGAGCGCCGAGAAGGCGGCGGCGGCGGCGGCGCGGCTGCTTCGTGCGACTGTGGCTCCCCCCACCTCCTCTTCCTTTTTGCTCCTTGATTCTTCTTCTCCCCCCACACACGTCCATGGGGAGCCGGCCCTCCTGCCGGCACCTCCTCTCCTCTCGGCCCCGTAGGCACCAGCTGCCGCCTCCCTGGCCAAGGGCTGCGAGGGTGCTGTTTGCCCTGGCCCCTGGAGCCGTGCCCGCGTCTCGCCGCCCGCAGCCTGGACTGGCGCGGCGATTCTCTCGCCCAAACTGACTCGGAAAGAGCGAGAGCAGATGCCCCGCTGCACCGAGACAGCGGGCGAGCGGGCGTCCGGGGGCAGGGCGGGGGCGGCAGGGAGAAGGAGGCGTCGGAGACTGTGAACCCCGGAAAAGTTCAAGGTTTGTGCAGTTCCCCCCAGGGAAGGCGAAGA